TACCAAGTCTTTTAGGTCTTCCGTGAGGTCTTGTGTCGAACGAGCAAGAGCAAAGAGAAACCACCATCGTGATCTTTCTGGCAGCACTCGGTAGACATGACCGAACCATCGCAATTGCGATCTTTTGATCCTGAGAAGCTGAGGCTGTAAAAGATTTGTCATACAGTTTTATTCGTCATTTCTCTTACCCTGATGAACACGCTGGTGTGCTTCATCGAAGCGTGTCGGTAAATATCACATCCTCATTTTCAGTTGTTGCCTTGAGTCATGGATCGAGAGGCGAAGACCATGATACAAGCAACGAATTTATACCTCCTTCCTTAGCTATTCGCCACATTTATTTTCACAGTTATTTATTTGTTTTTTTAGTTTGTGCAGTTGTTTATTTATTTTCATGCATACTGTGAAGTAGAGTCCTTTGGTAATCTTGCTCAAGCGGTAACCTTCTACTTAAGTACGTAAACGGGTATCAACTTTAATACGTATTCTAAATCGTATTGTGGTTTACGCAAGCGTATCCAGATATAGGTCTGTGTGGGTATGTGGTCATGATGCCTTCACTGCATGCTTCCAGGCAGATGATAGACTTTTCCGTCGTCTTTAACACTTTCTGTTACACGACGGTTTACCGTGTAACATGAAGAAGTAACAAAAAATGTTATCTATCCAGAACTAGCAAATTTGGTAGTAGACCTGTAAGATAAGTGATAATTTTTGCGTACAAAATTTTCTGTTATCTTTGTTAGACATTTTCTTTCATTACAGCAGCTCACTGGATAAGCTTATAAAGAACTCACTGGATCATGACTTAACTACTACAATTATCATGTATATAATATTTATATATTCTACAAAGCAGTCGAGTACCTGCATTTTCCGTTCCTGATCATTACTATTCATGTAAGGTCTGATATTCGATGTTCCTTCAGCGAGTAATTTCTGTCTTAACCTGTTGTTACATAAACATTGGACTCAATATGGTAATTGACGATTTAAAGTCATTCAGTACTCTGTTTCGGGGATCACAACTATAAAACCTGCATTGATATCGGCTTCTCGAAACTAGATTGCTTTACTAATTTCAGTCAATCTGGTTCATCCATCCTGTGTACAAAAGTAGTCTCTTTACCCTCACTTCCATTCTGCTTAGCACGGCTCCCGCTTCACTACTTTTGACGTTCTTATTCGTAGGATGTTTTTAAGCATCTCTGGCAACTCAGCTCGTCAACTCACTTCTGTTGTTTGATCGAATTTCTAATGTCTTTCGCGCTAGGTCTAGAATTAAAGGTGAATATTTTCAGCAGTTTGCTGAGCTGCTTCCACCAGATTCGTTGGTCATTCATAGGCGGATCAGATACTTCAAAAGACACGAAAGCGGAACCATTCGTCATCAAAAATTGTGAGACTTTATAAGACCTCATGGGTAACCAACCAGTTCTGCTAGTCTGAGAAGGTAATAAGCAAAATTTTACGCTAGCTGGATCAGCATCAGTTTCAAAATTTCTCAGGGAGTTAATCTTCCTTGTACAGCTTGCATTTCTTTGGCCATATTGTTCCACCATACAGCCGTGGGAAGCCTTTATCACCCATATTGGGTTAAGTGATGATAAAGTGTTCAGGGTACAAATAGAAAGGTTATTCACTGAGTAAGATCATCAGTAATTTGATAACTGTTCAGTAAGTCCTTGAGACGCATCCTGGTATCAAACAGAACTGAGTTATCAGGCAAGAGCACCCACAGAATGCTTTCCTGCCTAGCTTCGAGGACGTGAAGATTTATTTCTCCTGCGCTGTACACGCCACAATAAAAGAAACCCTCCGAGGCGAGGAGGAGGGGGCGGAGGAGTTGTTCGTCTCTGAATATTTATGCTTGCATACTTATACATATACCGTTTCTGTATTACTGCTATATATTTTGATGGAACCTGTAAAATATATAACATTTAGTTACCGTCTATCGTCACAGTGCACTGCATTTTCCAGTCTCCTCGTTGGTAGAAACATCAAACTTTCGCTGGCCTCCAAGCACATCCTTCATTATTTAAACGTACTTTCATAACTTGAGTGTCAATGCTACGACACAAGTCAATGCTACGATAATATTTCAAGTTCTCCGCCCTTTGCCTACATCGTTGGTGAAGTTTTCTGATGATCATGTCATCCAAGCGCGCTCTTGGATGATGGAGAGAACGTTTGCTGTCCAGCAGAATCCAATTTGTAATTCTTGATGTTTGCCATTGTCTCTTAGACAAAATGTATTGTCTGTTAACCTTCTTTCGACGTGTTGAGGGCAGAGGTCTTGCTAACTCATTTCATTCACCGCTGAATCTGTGCGCTCGGAACGTGCCCATTTTTCGCTCCATCTCTTTGTTTTCGTCTGCTTTGGCATTCAACGCCGTAGGTCATGAGGAAACGGTTGAACTGAAAAGTTCCTTTCTCTTTGCATGTCGGCTCGCTGTCGAGTAGCGATGTTTTAATGAAGTTGAGGATTAATCTATGCTTACCACTTTCTCCTTAATCGACATTTCAGATGGTGAGCTCGAAGGAAGAGCTAGCAAGTTTCTACCTCCAAGAAAACGCTATGTATAATTCTGAGGGAGCACTGTAGTTTCATCTGCGTAGTTAATTTGCCAGTGCGTGATCTATGGCCCATAATGCGATCCACTGCGATGATGACACAAAAACACGCTGGCAATAAAAATTCTATCATCGGTTTTTTTCTCACAGCTGCCGTGGTTTTGGCATGTCTTGCAAACGTGTCCAGAAAGGAACGCAAAGCAACAACTCTTGCTCAACCGACCGGCCGAAGACACGTAGAATAGCCAAGATCTACCATGAGCAAGTATCTCGATGGACTGTGCTCCAGATTCAGTTATCTTATGCTGAAGCTTATACGCTGGCACAAGATCGGGAACGTTGGAGAGACGGCCGGACGCTTCTCCGTCCGCCACCCTGAAAGATAAAAGCCATAGAAATTGATTCACTGATTGACATCGACGATCGCCGATCAACAAATCAGCTAGAGCCCCGATTGAAAGCATCAAATCATATTTGTTTCATTTCAAGCTTCACCCATTTTCGATCGACCGATCGTTCTTCGCATTATCGAGTCAAGTATGGCCTAGCGTTGATGAGTTTTGCCTGGAGGCACAGATTCAGTAGTTAGGACAAAAAGCGATCGTCATTCTGCTTATGAATCGCTGCTTCGTTGAACATTTGCGAAACTTTGCCAGAAGTGAAATATTCGAATTATGCGCTACGTTCAACGAATATTTTCTGCGTCAGCACGAGGGAAGGTAGTTGATAGTTGATTGATTCATTGACTTGCGTGTGACTGAAGGAGAATTGAATCAGAGCCTTCCGGATTCGATTGGTACGTGCATCTCTGATTCGTGATATATGGTCTCAAAAGCGGCGATCGGCCGGGTAAGAAAATGCTCACTACGGATACGACGTCCAGAAATAGCCCGTTCGCTTGGTTTCGTCCGTAGCTTCGGATTAGACTCGCTAACAGCAGGAATCTTCCTTCGCGTGGCCAGCGTCTCGTGGTGCATGATGCATGCCTCTCGTCCCTCCACGCGCACTCGCAACAGCATGAGGATCAGTATGAGGCGCATTCATGATATGAGATGCTAATGAAGCCGTCGTCGCCGCCAACATGCTTGATTGGCATCGTAGTTAATGGACACCGCGGTTGTCGTCGTTGAGCGAAGCAGTACCAATCATTGATATACGCGTGACAAAGCGCTGTGTTACGTAATTGCCCCTCTCAACGAACTGCGTTCGGTGATTGATTCCACTCTGAAGCCGGCCCGGTGCTTCTTCGTATTTCCACACACAGACGCAAATACGCGCACGTACATACAAGTAGCACCCGCGGGATCGTAAATAGACGCCCTCGGTCGCCCTCCAAGAAAATGGGTGGATTTCATATTTAGTCTACAGGAACCATACCGTAATACCAGAGGAAGGCACGAACGAGAGAAGAATGGGGGGTGTGCAAGGACCGACGTAGGTAATGCGACTGGTGTATACTGACGCTCAGGCAAATCAAGCATCTCCTTATAAGCCAGCCGTACAGACTTAGACTTTAGCGCAATAGATGCACATGTCTTATCACACAATACAGTCACTAGAAGGAATTAAATCACGCCGTTGTTTACCAATAAATGCCGTATATGTATTTTTATATCAGTGTTATGACCAACAGATGCACATGATACATTATTACTATATGAAAGGCATATGCATAACTTATATATAATGTGCATGCACTGTATGTTATAGGATAATTATGTACGTGCGTGTAAATACTTTGTATACAGTGCTTGGTCCCGCCAGCCGGCACAAGCCTCTTTCGCATATTGTCTGAGGTTCTTGCGTACCTAGTGGAGAGTAAAGCCTGATCGACCGTGATGTAGGTGGGACGAAGGCCACGCTGCTCGTCGTGAACCTTCTCCTCTAACATAGTCGAAGTTGAGATGCTTGGAAGTGCGGTGCTTCGTAAAACAAATTTCTGTAGTATCCACTTGTTGTTAGGGCTCTGGTTCTTCCCAAGCTCCTTTTCATTTATAGTAAAATTCATGCGCCTCTATCAACAGTCCTTTGAAGTCACTTTTGGCCTTACGTTAACTTCAGGTCTAACTCTAATCAGACGTCACCTTTACTGTTATGCAATATAACAGCAACTGGGAAGGCTGCAGCATATCCAGTTTTCTGTTGGATCCCTCGGATAGGGTTCGAACGCGTCCGTTGCCAACGTCTGCTGCACAAAGAACGATTCAGGATGGCAGTTTTTAAGTGACCCCACAGC